ATAATAATAATAATAATAATAATAATAATAATAATAATAATAATAATAATAATAATAATAATAATAATAATAATAATAATAATAATAATAATAATAATAATAATAATAATAATAATAATAATAATAATAATAATAATAATAATAATAATAATAATAATAATAATAATAATAATAATAATAATAATAATAATAATAATAATAATAACAATAATAATAATAATAACAATAATAATAATAATAATAATAAAATATCAAAATGAAAATAAAATACAAATAAACCAAAATGATAATTAGTAACAATAATAATAATTAGCTTCATTCCTGTTCCTGTTGTTGTTTTGACAAGAAACAAAAGCCACTTAATAAATTTTAGTAATAATTATTATTGCATGAATGCCATAACAATGAGTAATTCTTGCTTTTTGAATAATTAAAAGATAACGATATATATATCACTTGCTAAATAGTTCCCCCTCACCCATTTGTAGCAAAATGTACCAATTTGTCAAAAATATTTTCAGCAAACTTTTTTCTTTTTCCAAATAAAACTTCTTTGATTTTATAATCCAATTCGAATTCTGCTTTATAACTAACTTCAAATGCAAACCTTGATTCCGAAATTTCAATTGCTAACCTTGATTCTACAATTTTAATTATAAAACTTCGGACGAGAAAATTAGGATTGATGATTAACACTTCCTATTTGAATTATTGTTAAATTTCTTCTGTGAGAAATAAAATTTGCAAAAATTAATGAATTGAATCATTCATCCTTGCTAATTGTCCATCAAAATTTTTCTTCCACCAAATCATACGATCAAAAACAATATAAGCATTTTTAATTCTCAAATTCAAATTATAAAATGAAACCTAAACATGAAGACAAATGCAATATTATCAATTTAAATTATAACCAATGACATCTGTTAACGTGCTCAATAAATGAAAACTGATATATTTTTAATAAAACTGAAAAAAAAACTGAACAAAAGTCAAAGATGGAACTAAATGAAATTAAAAAAGGTAGTAAAAATATAGACAACGTTGCGAGTCAGATTTGAAGAAAAAAAAGAAATTATTCCAGCGTTTTTCCCCTCTCCTCCTTTCTCTTTTACTCTTTTAAATCTATTCAAAGTGATTGTGGTGCACTGCATGAAGCCAATAAACATACTATGTTAACAATCATATTGTTATGCATTGAAGTATGTTTTTCTTAGGAAATCGACAACTGTTAGCAAAGAAAAGAGAAGTGAACAAGATTTTATAAAACATGGCCTTAATTTTACAGAAGAAAAAATTCAGGAATTAACAAATTAACAAATTAACATTCACAAATTAACAAATGATTGTGAAATTTGTTTTAATAAAAGTACAAAAAAAAGAAAAAATGTCTGCGGGTTAAGAATAGTGCTGCTTTGCAAATTATTGCTACGAACTATTTTATTACTTCATTTTACGTTATCAACAACAAAATTATTTCGAAAATTGCACTTCACTGTTTCGTCTTCGAAAAATTTTTAGCAAAAAAAAAATCAAAAATGAATTAAATAAAGTGATAACAAACAACAATTAACATCACATGTCCAATTTAGCAAGTTATGCTGCAAAGTATAACTAAACTACTTGATAAAATAAAACACCTAAGAATTATGAAGTATAGAAGAGAGTTTTCAATTATTTCAATCCTAAAGGTCCTTGAGCTTCGCTTTGAATCAACTGGTGTTCCTGAAATCGTAACGAAATCCTCTGAGTCATTTTCAAAAATTTATCAAGGCAATTCGAACAGCACTGTTCCTCCGAGTTACTTACTGTCCTGGAATATCCACATGAACCAAAAAATAAAAAAAAAGATAAAACATTTTGATGAAGAAACGAAATAAACTTAAAATTTATGCAAAACGAAAAAGTTTTATCGTTTTTTCATCTACTTTCTATCCGTCCAATCTTTTAACTTACTGAGGAAAAACAAGGAAATAATTTCATTCTCGGAAAAAAAAGGAAAGAAATTTCCCACTAATTCATTTTTCTTTCTGCAATCCGAAACAGTTGTCGGGTACTGTGTGATAACTGTGGGAAAATATCAAACCGGTAATCTCATTCAACCTTATATTTCATTTACATATCAACATCTCACATTTAAATACAAAAGCCTTTTCTCTTTATTTTGGACACAAAACTTCCAAAATGTTTGAAACAAACAAAATAAAACCTTTAAATAGTAAAGAAAATGTTTCGATTTTATACAGCTATTGCATTCGCTTTTAAACTGTTTGGAAGAAACTGATGTGAAGAATTTATACCTTTCAATATTTTTTTCATTGTAATAAATCCAAGAGGAAGGTAACATATCCTTTGAAAATTTTTTTTTTCAAAGCAATAAATTCGAAAAGAAGTTAATACTTTTCTTAAAACTTTTCCTAATAAATTCATAGAGAGAAAGCTTACCTTGTGGTAAAATCGGTTATGCAGGACGTGAAGCATTGTTCAGCAACAGCATTATATTGTGTCAAAAAATCTTTAAACGTTTTCAAATCCGTTTCTGTCGTTTTTTCGACCATATTTTATCGTCTTCAAATTAATCACGTAGAAAAGTAAATTCCTCAAATGCAATTCGCTAAACTGTTAGTATAAGAAATAAGGAGACCTGAAAATAGTGAACTTACTGTTTTAAGAGATACTTCAAAACTATTTAAACAGAAATATCCCTGTTTTGGGCCTGCAATTCAAAAAAGATTTAATGTCCACTTCCACACTTACAGGCACTACACCAAAACTTCCTCAACACTTTAGTATCATCTTAAAACATGCAAGTCAATCACTACAACCAGTTGGAAGCAAGTAGGAAAGATCTGATAAAGTCTCATTTACTTTAACCATTGGTTGAATCTCTAAAATCACTTTGTAATTACCCAAACATCAACCTTTATTTCAGTTGCTGCTATCCTTTCTGTAGTTCCGGAAGCAGATGCTATGAATTACAATTCAGGTTTCGATTTGCATTAAATACAGCCATGAGCTGTCGAGCATATTGCAAAGAAGTTAATGTATCTATGAAAATCTCGAAATCATAAGCGAATGAGATATACTGAGATATATCCGATAAAATAATTTTATAAGTGAACAAAATCAACAAAATCTCAAAGTGAAAGAATTGAATATGAATGTATATTACAGTATGCTCAATTTCAATTTCAACAATTCGGCAACTTTTGGAATGTGAATGTTGTATCACTGATCCTAAGCCATTTGAAATGATTTCAATATCGATTCTGCAGCATCCAATACTTTATCTGACTGAAAAAAAGACAATTTTAGTATTAAAATGCTGAAAACTGCATCATTTTCTGCTAGCACAGCAGTTATTACTACATTAACAATCAATCAATGCCAGTAATACTGATAAATGTGATAAGGAATGTCAATTGTCAAACTTCTGTTTAATTCATCACTGATCAGGATTTGCTTATGGTTGATGTGAATGACCATCTTATGGAAAATGATGCATGTTTATTTAAACAATTGCTATTTGACAAAATCAGTATTGAAGGTGAAGAATTTAACTAAATATAAGAATTGTCATGTTTCAGCAAAGAACACCTGGTAACTTGAAGTTTACAACTTTTACCGAATTATTTTTAAAAAGTACAAAGCGAATTATCAAGAATGAAGAAGAACCAAAAACTATTACCTTGAAAAAGCAAACACGAATGAAATGATCGTTACCATGCTTATTTGGACCGGTATAAAAAGCCGAATTTGGTATCATTGCAAGCTTCTAAAATCTATGTTGTATTGAATAAATGACATTTTCCGGAAATCACTTGTGCTGTGGACGAAAAAATAAACAATAGCAAACCTTTTCACGACACATCCATCGCACAAAACGGAAATCCAGTGGATCATTATTTCCATCTAATACTTTGAACGGGCCATCTAAAGAAAAAAAGTGGAGCAGTAAGAATAGTATTTTGGAATTAGCTTTATACTGATCACCACAGAACAAAAAATAACATAACAGTTCCTCTTAAATGGCTCGATATTGATTAATTAAAGAGTAATGAAATAATAAAAAAAAAGAACCCTTGGTTTCGACAAATCAAGATTATTCTGGATCCTGAAAAAAGAGAGACTTACCTAAATGCGAAAAATCAGCAACCATGAAGTAACCGGAATCGGGAATAATGGGTTTCATTCCGGCAGAGCGCAGTATTGATGCCATTCGATCTCTTTGTTGAATCAGCTCAGACGCTATTCCTTTCTTTAGATAGCTTTCTGTTGGGTTAGATTCTATTATATCTAACTCCTTCTCAAATGCTTCAGCAACCGCTTGCTGCAAACCGTTGAATGTGTAGACGCTAATAGCTATCCCGGGCTAACTTTACTATTTAAATGATTAAAAAGTTTTAACCAAGAACATGCTGATAAACAGTACTTCCCAGTCAGAGCAGTACACGTCACTTATCCTAACCGACTAACGTGACCTTTTTTCTTTTTAAAAAATAACCTGCATGTCGCTCCTCCATTTCACTCTTAATGAAGATAAGAAAACTTTCTAATCTCCTAGAATTTTTAAAAAAGATGCAGTAAAATGCTAGCTGTATAAAAGAACATAGTGAAAAGTTAAATAGATCTTAGCACACTAATTTCTATTAATTTTCATCAATGAATCACTGATGGGTGTAGCATTACAAGTACCAACACCAAAACCTTGGCAAAAATTAACAAAGGAAAAACTTTGATATTTAATTGCATAAAAATATCGTTTCCATATTCATCTGCATGAAAATTTCATAAAAAACGAAATTACATAAAAATTAAAAACTTCGTTAACGAAATTTTTACGCACGAAAGGTTTTATGATAAGATGTTGAAAAATGCACCTGGATTGGTGTAGGACATGTAAAAACACAGTTTTGATGGATTCGTCTTAATGGTTCGAGAAGTTCAGCTGGTGCAATTGACCAACCTAATTTCCATCCTGTTACACTAAATGCTTTTCCAGCGCTACCGATAGTTATCGTACGTCTATACATATCAGGTAAACTGGCTAAAAATAACTAAAACAGTAGATACTAGCTTTAATTTTCTTTCACGACAACAAAGTTTTGTTCAAAATGTAAATAACAAAATGAATATTTACACTAACCGAAACGAACCATCTTCTTATCACCATATACATGCCATTCATATACTTCATCAGCTATTACCAATAAATTGTAACGAACAACAATGCCAGCTATCTTCTCCAGCTCTTCTCTGCAGAATTTAATATTTCGCAAATCTCGACAACTTTTAAAAAAAACTACGATTTATTTTGTTTTTTATCTTTTTCCTTTAAACATAACTACTAGTCAAGAAATATAGTACTATTCATTTCTTGGCTACTTCTTCCACAGTAAATGAAGAAGTAGCTCATGTTACTAACCATTTACATTTCAATATAGAGAGTGTTTAAATTGACCCAAAAGTTTCCATAAAGATATCGACAAGAATTAGAGGAGAAGTATGAAGTGGGAAAACTGTATTATCGAATAGTACTTCTATTTTTATGCCTAAAATAAGGTAAAGAAAAAGTAGTAGAATACTTTCTTTAGAAATATTGAAAGTTATGCAAGTTGAGGAAAAAATCTCACCAACATTTTCCAGCTATTAATGCAATAAATCAATTATTAATGGATCTAGTAATTAAAATACAATTAAGAATTGGCATGCAAAAAAAACGTACAGTAGCATCAACGAAAAAATATTATGAAGTGAAAATGGTATTTTGTTTTTTATGCCTAAAATAGAAAAGTAAAAAGCAACGAAAAGAATTTAAAAAAAGTAAAGAACTAGGAAAGAAAACTTTTGTTAAAAATATTGGAAGCTATATCATGAAGTGGAAAACCCATATAATCGAGTGGTATATTACTGCAAAAAAGTTGAAAAAAAAACGAAAAACAATATACTGTGTGAATAATTTTCCCGTCGGATTGTGTGGATTATTAAGGACAATCATTTTCGTCCGCTTGTTGATTTTTTCTTCAATCGCTTTCACATTTAACATATAATCCTTACTACTCTGGGGGTCCGATGGCAAATTAAGCACAACTGGTACGGGTATACCACCTGCCATACGGATTTGGGGGACATAACAATCAAATGCTGGATCAAGCACTGAAAATACAAAGAAATCAACAATAGAAACTATACTTTGCATACAACTAGTCATCTTGACTTATAATAGTTGGTTGTTAGCAATAACGAATGATCAGCAATACAGGGTATTTCTGTAATTGCACTATCGTCCTTCCGATCTGCTCTTCCCAATTTACTGCAATATATAAAACTAAAAAGTGAAAGATTTAATACTGGTTCAACAGCACATACTTTATAAATGAATGGAAACTACAAACCGATTACTTCATCACCATCATTTAGCCAACCCATGAAAGAATAATAGAGCGAAAGATATGCTCCAACTGTTACTAAAACATTTTGCTGTGCATCAACATTCACACCCAGTGTGCTTGAGTAAAGTCTTGATAGAGCATTTGTCTGGAAAAAATTGCAAAAAAAAAAGAAAACAAGAATGACAAGAAAAGCCAAAAAACAAAAAGAAAAAACAAAAAAAAAAAAGGAATATCGACTTTATTAAAAGAGGCAAAAACTTACTAGCCTTGGATGACCAAAGCCTCGACTATACTGATGCCAATCAGTTCTTTCTGGATGTTTGGCAACATCTTCCAACATTCTAGCTACAAATGCTGGCATAGGAGTATCTGGAAAACCCTGCAGTAATAATAGCATTTGAGCTATCCTTGTGCTGTAGTACAAAGCAAAAGAGACACATAGATGGAATTGAGCTTTGAAAAAGAAAAAATGCAGATATAGTCAAGGATAAGCTAGTTAAATTACTTTATCATATAGTAATCTACCTGTCCAATATTGACTGCTTTACATTCTGCAGCTAAACCTGTGAATTCAACCCTGCAAGATGGACTCATCAAACGTACTTTTTTAATAGTTAATTGAGAAAAACCAAATTAAATCACGTTGTTACGTATGCATTACGTGAAATGATAAAAGGAAATATGATCAAAAGAAAAAGCATATAACATACCAAACGCTTGGTTTAACATTTGCAACACGTTCCGAAAAATGTTGTCGTTGCTCGGATAAATGCGCATCAACATTTCCGCCTCTCATTTGATTTGTTAATGTACGGAATGTATTAAATTGATAGTATAACGATTTGCAATTATATAGATTTGCAATTATATAGTAATTATATAGTATTATATAGTATACCCTTCAAACAACCAATTCTTTCAAGCATATTTAAGCACAAAAATTATTAGGAAATACCGATGAATGATGATGGATTGAATAAACGACTTCTGCTACAATATTTTTGGTTTCAATGTTTATGGCAACGAATTGCAAATTGAGCGGTTCATAAAGGTAGGTGAGTTAAATTTTAATTTATGCAACTTTAAATTAATTGGGGTACATTTTGTTCACGTGAATTGATATGAAATGTGTAAGTTACGTGGAGCATATCAAAGACTGTTCGACGTAATCATTAGACTGTTTTATTTTGAATTGTGAAACATTTAAATGCTAAAAATATTTGGTAATCTGATCTCTTATATATTTGCCACTCAAATTGCAGCGTTTTTTTTTCTTTTTTTTTCCTGATAGAGCCCTTAATCCATGTCTCAGTACTCTTAAACAATTGTCATCATTAGAAAGACCTGATTAAATTAAATCGAGCCAAATTAACTATGAGAAGAATTAGAGAAATTAAGTTATAGCAGGTGAGCTAAGTGAAACACGTCAAAATATAAGGTTCTCTACTGCATAAAATGGTGACAAGCTGAATTGTGACAAGTTGCGCACGCTTATTTTGACACAAATGACATTAACTTTAAAAATTTTGAAAACCAAAATCTTTTCTGAAGTTTTATTTGCACTCCAATTTTTGACTATATCCCTGAAACAAATGAAATGATTTTCAAAATATTTCCTCGTTTTTTAAATCTTCTAGATCTTTGAAATTCTTGATTGAGTTCAGGAAAATTTGCCGAACTCCTCAAAATGAAGAAATAGAGCAGTAGTTGGGAAATATTCATCATTTGCGAATTCATCATCCTAAATTAACGGTAATGGTAACTAATTTCTAATTAACGATAATGAATTACATAAGAATGTTTTACATGTAACTTCGTAATTCATCCTCAGTGTCATGCAGAAGTTATCAATGATACGCTATCAGCATCATCTCGGAAATGATAATCATTTGTTATACATAATTTCATATCGATATTTTCATTGACGAATGTGAATATTTTAATTGTATTCAAAAACATTGAAATTACACCTATGAATAAAAAGAAAAAATTTATTTCTGAGCACCTTTATTTCCTCCATCTCTTCTTGTAAATGTCATTTTTTTGTGTTAAGTATAACAATGAGAAAAGAAAGAGGATGAGAAAGAGAGAAAGGGGGAGAGAAAAAAAAAGGAAGAGATAAATTAACGACATTTCGAGTTTTATAGGCTCTTTGCCTGATCAAATTTCTGCATGCTTCAGAAAATTGTTAATTCACAAATTTCTGAAAGTTTCAATTTTTGAAAATTTCATTTTTTTTTCTTGCAAATAATTAATAAAAGCTTTTTTCCATTTATGAGGAAAAACAACTTTTTTTTTCCTTCAAATCCAATGAAAGAGATTAATTTTGAAATTTTAGATTCAAAAAATCAAATCGAACAATAATTTTTCCTTGTATATCGAACAAACATGGCAAACTGTACAAAGATAAATAAAGTTAACATCATATCACATCATATCATACAGCATATCAGCGTAACAATTATTGCATCAATATCACGCATATTAATTAATATAATCATTCAAAAAGAAAAAAGAGAAATAAAAGAAGTGTGCTTCTGTAATCTTTTTTTTATTTTTTGAATGCTTCTGTTAAATTTCGTCACAAAAATGGTTGAAAAATTCAAATTTTCCTAGATGTTCTTGATTATTATCATCAGAAAATTGTACGAAAAACGATTTCTCCTCAATTTGTCAAACGATTAATTAACTTGAAAACTTTTCATCTTTTTCGGAAAATGTTCTGATAAATAAAGAAATGCTGTAAAAGTAATTCTATACATGAAAAAAACAAGAAGGAGTTTGAAAATATAAAAACTTACAGAAAAAGAAAGCAAAAATCAAAGAGCGGAAATAAAGTACAAATGATATTAAAAACATAGAAAGGAAAAGAAGTCGTACGCTTTCCTTCTCCAATTAATGAAATTATAATCATTGTCATCATCATCATTACCACAACGATAATTACTGATAAATATTAATTCGAAAAAAAATGAAGAGAAAAAAAAATACAAACGCTCAATGTGTTGCAACAAAAGGCACATACAATATCATTATTATTACTGATCAAAATGATAACCCCTTGAGATGTTTAACATAATTGAAAAGTATACATCATACATTAACTTTGTGTCTTGGTTTCTTACGCACTGGATCTTATCTGTATTCAGTCCTGATGGCAATTCATTGTCACAGTCCTCCTTAACACATATTTGAAAAAAAAAAAAAAAAATCTTATAAAAGATCTTATAAAGATCTTATAAAAGAAAGAAAAAAAAAGAAAAGAAAAAAAAGAAAACTGCTTTCACCTTTCATTTTTACGAAAAGTAATATAAGTAAATTTTCTTTCTTTTATAAGATCGAATCAATCAGAGCTCTTTTTCACATTGTTGCATGCCATTTTTAAATCCCTAAAATTGCTTAGTACCAATAAAAATCTAAGAAATGATGAAATATTACAAAAATTTGGAGGAAAATTAATAATAGACATTTCATTCCAGTAAGCTACAATATATTTCTTTTGTGTCCACAAGGATAAGTGAGATAGTAAATTTAACGAAAATGAACAATTAAACTCCAAATCATCATGTTTTAGGCTTTCTGATGAATTAAAAAAAAAAAAGTAAGTAAACAATGACATACACATTGAATCACAGGATTAATATTTTTCTTAGCATGCAAATTAGTAGCACATTGATGATAAAAAACAATGACGATCAGATATATATATATATATATATATACGAAGCATCATTTTTTTGAGCAAGAAATAACATACTGGAGAGCATCATCCAAATCGGAGAATATCTGAAAAAGAAAAAGAAACACTGAGAATTGATTTATTTTACAACATATAATGCGGTGGAAAAAAACAGCCACTTCCTATTTGGGAAATTACATTCGGTTCCTTTCCGGATGTAATAATTCAGGGTGGTTCTGTGCAGTAATGCTAAGAAAAACTCATTCGTAATGTCTCAGAAGTAAAAGGTCTGCAATTGCACGACTTGCAACAACATTATCAATACAATTTCAAGCAACAGTCCGTTTTCTCGGAGGTAATGAATCTCAATGTTAGTAATGCATTTATTACTTATTCCATAACTACTGATGGATTGTCGTGCGACAGTCAGTCCTTCAAAAAGAATACAAAAAATAAAACGAACTTCACAATGTTTTCTCTCAGCCATATCCCTGAGATAGCAAAATGCCATACGATATGATTCATTACGCCTTTCAATATATTTCCTTATTTCATCATCATCGTTTGGTGTACAATCAAGCATTTTAGCACGCTTTGGCACACAAATCGTCAATTCCATCGTCGGATGACCAAGAAAATAGGCTACCTGAAATGAAAATAGTTGATCACAACAATGTAATTGATAATTACTTAGATAAAAACTATATAAAGGACAAAAGTTCGACCAACGATTCCCCACTGTAGTCTTGAAATCCCTTTCATAAAAGAGATCTTCACTCTCGAAACATCGTACTTTTCAGTTATTGACAACTATTACGATTCGTCCTTTAGTATCATGAACTCAAAATTCGAAATTATTATACCCAAAAGCATACCTCAACCATGCCTGATAGCATGGTCTCACAAGATGGTATATGATAAAGTATGTGTCTTGTCATATGCAAAGTATTCAATCGTCTATGCCTTTCCACCATTAACTCCGAACAAAACGATAGTCCTTTTCTACTGTAAAAAAAAAAAAAAAAAAAAAAATACATTGAATCAGTGAAATTCTAGTTTAAAATTCTTACGTAGCCTGCACAAAAAGCAAATGGTTGAAAGACAGAGATACATAAAATCACTTTTCGAAAAAATCTTGGCAAAGGCGGTGCGTTATTATCAAGAAACGCAGTGAGCTGCAAATATCAGTGGTTCTGGTTTAGGGATTTCAAATTTAGAAATCATTATATTTTAACTATAACCAAAGGCCAGTGATCTTAAAATAGTAAAAGTTTTCAAATTTTACATTTAAAAAACTGCGGTCACAAAAGCGCTGAAAAAATAAAAAGCTAACTGTAGCTGCGGTGTAGCACGATGATTAATCCAGGAAAGATCAATACGATTCCTCGAACTGCATCCAAGAAAAATATCGTATCCATTCGCATCCATCCATCTCAGTGGATTTGCAACACTGCTGCTGCTATCATACGACCGCTTTTTCAATACTATAAATTTATTTACTTTCTTTCTATCCCGATTCTTTTAATGTTGAATCTTTTGCCAAATAATGATCTCATATATGTGCAGCATGAATTTCGAACTCATTATTTGAATTATGGTAAAAAAAATCGTAATGTTTCTCATATTTTCTGTGTCCTCAGATTTATTGTGTCGAAGTATATCAAAATTTGAAATGAACCCTTACAGTCATAAAGCATAATACGAAAGCTATCCAAAATAATTGTATTATGCCTGAACATAATCTAATCTTTCAACATTTAGTTAAAAAATGCATAACCAAGTGATTTATAAATTAAAAACCAAAACTATTTCATAGGCAGCAGAATTTTTGAAGCTAGAAACTCGGATTTGACTAAATTCAGTAAAGTTATCCAAATATTACTTAGATTTCACAAAGAACTAGAAAAACTGCCTCATATACAATTAAGATTAGGCAACACCACTTAAACTATATTTGGTAGTTAACAAAACTATTTGAAATTTGGCTGAAGTATTTGAACTAAAATAAAATCAGCAAAGTTTCCATCTTTTTCTTTCTATAGTAGGAAAAGGACTTACAACGTGAAGAAAGTGAGGTTGTTGTTGCATGCACACTGCGATTCATCGACTGATAACAATAATTGAGCGGAACTTGCTGAGCAACGACATTGTAAGGCACAACGGCATGACCGGGTATTGGTAGTGATACTGCATTCACTAATTTAGCACGGCGTCGTGCAGCTGCATTTATTTTATAGCAATAGTAAATAGCTGAGAAAAGTGCCACGAAAACATCAAATGCTAGAAATGGTATCAGTAGGAGAATAGGTGGTAGCGTACGCAGGAAGAAATACACCGCCAATAATAATAAAATTTCAAACAAACCTAAAAAAACTGAAATCAAATGTCCATTAATATAATTTACCAAAGCAGTTTAGCACCGTAGATAAGATGTAATTCTTGCCATGAAAATCAAAGTACGATCTCCTTTTCGGTTCTGACCTATTAATTTTAAATGATGCTTCAATCTTGAACTCATAATTTTTATTCCGCTACAGAGAAAATACCAAATTCAAATTTTTATTCAAAAAATAAAGAACATTATTTGACAATTCACATAAAAGTAAACTTTTATGAAAAACGTCAAATAAACTCAAAATTTGGGATAACAGTATAATGAGACCAAATCTTTGTTTCTGAAAAAAGAACCTTAACAGGAAAAAAAGAGAGTTAACAGAAAAAATCTCCAAAAACAATAAGAAATTAAAGAACAGAAATGAGAAAAGTTAGTAGAAAATTCTTTATTGTAATTCAAGGCTCAAAAATTTAGGAGATAATTAGCGGTAGTTATTCATGCATTGTGAAGAATCAAAAAAAGAATACCGAGCAATAAAAACGAATTACCTAGTAAGAGAAACTTGCAGCCCCTCCACTTTAGTACACCATTTTTAACATTTTGTAAAGCATTTCGTATGTGATTTACTGATTGCCGACATGTACGCTTCCCTCGTAGAAGCATATATGGAAGCCTTTGAAACGGATTAGACATTGCTTCGGACCAGCTCTTTTCCCCAATTATAATTTCATCAATGTAACGAAGAGCATCCTGTAAATATTACAAAAATATTGCTATGAATTACCATTAAAGATATGTGAAGTTAATACTTGGGGGCAGCAGAAGAAAAAAGAAAAAATTCGAGACATTCCAGCAGCTCATTATAACAAATTAAAATATGAAATGTCACTTAGTGAGATTTCCTGAAACATCTGTAGAACAAAAAGTCGCATGAGAAAGATAGAACGATATAGTTCGTTATTTTAAGTTGGAAAAAAAAAAAACCTGAATAGTCTTTAAGACGGGAACATCATGCATTGTTAGTATATCATCCAGAAGATCACATGTACGCTGCCTGTCGGGTAAATCCTCCGGGTGTGCTCGTTCCTTCCATTCCGATTGCCGCAAGAAAACAACCACCAGCTTGGGTGCTTTCCGAGCAGCAAAATGGGCGATTTCCAGAAAGGATGTAGCATTGACAGTTGCTGGATCAAGCACAAACAGGAACACATTTGAATTCTAGAATATTATTATAGATGTTGGCTTTAAACATCAAATTTAATCATTCTTGATTTTTTTTCCCTCCTCTCCCTAAGGGACTCCACGTCATTTACAGGATAGTTATGCAACATTCAGTTTATAAAAAAAAAAGGAAAGAAAAAACCTCTTTCGCAACGCTTTCTTCGTTGATCATATGTTCATTCCAAACGCTTCGCTGAGGATCGTAATAGCTGATGGCTCGTTTTTCCAAGTATGGTATAACCTATAAAATGAAATTTAATGTTCCATCAAACAAATTTCTTGTCCTAATTTTTAATTTCTCAAACCCAAAGTCCTTAAACTAGCCGAGGTCTTTTAAAATCGCATATACAAAGGCATGACACTACCAACCAAGTCTCGTCGCCATACAGTGTTGCCACAGCTGCCACCTAAAAATACATCATAGATCGGTCTTGGTCGCAGTTCGTCAACCTCTTGACCAACTGATTTAGTCGTCAAGAACTGTTTTGCAGCGTATAAATCACAACCACCCTGTAATATTGTTTATAATAACTATAATGTTTCGGGATAAATTTGCAAAGCTTAAAAAAATATCCCGCAAAAAAATCGCCGAAACTTTTACCAGTGACGTTTAAATAAACAACTGTAGAGTTTTAGGGTATTAACAGAAAATTCTCGTGCCATAAAAAGCCTTTGTGAGTGAAATATTTTGCTATTCATTCAAATGTTTCTCTAATCAAGATGGCATATACGAAAGTCATTGGTCGCTTCATTTCATCATCCCTTTCCAGTTTATTAAATATTTCTATTCAAAATCATCTACCTCAAGAATAATCACTTTTAGAATTCACGTTCTGCTTATTTATTTATTGATATTTCATACTCTCAGACTCATCTGTATTTTATTTCTTCTTAATTTTTTTTTTTTTTTTTTTTTTTTTAACGACATCAAAACATCCGAGCCGAAACTCCTCTTTTGAAAAATTTAAAATTATACGAGAAAAAATCCTGATGGTCTCCCAACGATTCTTAATAATCAACGAATTTTTACAATAAAATAGATGATTAAAGGATGAAATAGATCGGTATATACCTAAAGGGAGGAAGCATAAGAAATATAAGACGAAAGATAAACTTCGGAGAAAGTTCTAGATAAAATCGAAAAAAGTTTAGGGCAATTTAAACAAAGGATTGATTTCCTGTAGAATAAATTTTGAAATTATTTTTCGAAAATCTGAAATTCTTCGTTTCATCATTCTAATCTAATCAGTGCTGAAATAAAAAAAAACACTTTATAAATGTATTATTTAAAGTAGACATAGTCATTTGCAATCATTCTCATCCCATCAACTGCTTACCTCTTTTTAACAGGAGAAATAAAAACAGAATATTTGGAATTTAAAGATAATTTTAATTCAGAAAAAAGAAAAGAAATTAACCGGTTTAGTAGCAGTGATCGCTGTGGTGGTGGTAGCACGATGTTGATATTTACCAATTTTGATAGTTGAAGTCCTTGGAGGACTGAATCCCGACATCGACGTAACGTATGCGTGCACGTTGAATCATCACATTTCTTGAGCATTAGTAAAAGGATTCTTAGTAAAAGGCAAGTTATGGCATTCCAATAGATGCCTCAATACTGTCAGCATAGTAGGGAAATCTATGAGGAACAAAAATGAAAAATTTCTTCTTTCTTCGAAATAAATTGAAAACGCTGTAAATTAATGCAATATCTAACATATGTACTAAATGAGCTTGAAAATATCTAATGATCGTGAAAATTGATTTAAAATGAGAAATGTGTTATTTTTCGAATCTGAAAATATGTGTTCAAATGAAGGAAAATGAAGAAGGAAATTGAAGAATGCATGAATACAATTCTTACAGATAAACAATAAGGAAAAGTAGAGCTGGAAATAAATCAAGTAAATTAACAATTGCCTTAGTAAATTGCATCGGTTACAAATCTAGGAGAAAAAAAAATATTTCACATAAAATAGCTAGCTATGCAGTGAAAATACAAATATTTAAAAAATTGTCAACTACTTTCAATACTATCAGAAATAACAGTTTTGAAGATTTGCTTGAAAACCTAATTGCGATAACTCAAATATTGAAAAAGTATTCTTCTGAAAAACAACTTAAATAATAAACTGTGATAAATGAGTATGATCATGTTTACAATTTAATAAGTTGGACAAATGTAACATTGAAATACAGCACCATTTATGAATGAGAAGAAATTTGTCAAAATTTAAATGAATTTCAAAAAGTTGCAATCAATGAAAGATGGCCCATTCATTTATCAGCTAAATGGATGGTATCTGAAACAGATAAGCCCGATTTTTGGGGAACATAACAGGCTAAAAAAACAAAAAGAAAAAAAAAAGGAAAGATGCCACAGTATCCATATTCGGCGATATAAACCTGGCGTGGAAAAAAAAAGATGCGCAAAATGTAGATGAGCTAGATATAACGGCCCATACCTTGGCCTGTTGGGCTTAGATGACTGGGATTTTGTCGTAGCATTGGTGATTTTAATAAATACAAGTCAACTTTTCAAACTTCAATGCTAATCTTAAATTAGTGGGGAATTCAAGTATAAGTAAGTAAAGTTTCCAATTTTACTAAAAATTACATACATGTATGACATGTGGACAAATATATCCGTATATGATGTACATTTGCGCCTATTTTATTACATAAATATCCAGGAATATTTAAGTTTTAATATTCAACAAAACAGAGAAAAAAGTATTTCAATCTTACAGTTAGTATTTCAAATATTTCTTGCTTAAGAGTATGATTATCAAATTATTAGTAGCATCATTTTCTTGCTAATACTAAATCATTAGGATAAAAATTATTACTAATAAGTGTGGAATAATTAATTAGTCATACTTAATTAATTATGCTACTATATTAATCACACGATATTTAAAATTCAAATATTCGAATTCGTTTTTCTTTTCTACTATCATAAAATGTTATGTGATTGTTTATGTTTAAATAAATATGGGAATAAAAAAAAATTTCTTTTTTTTTAAATTCTGTTTCATGCTAACCGGAAGCAATACAAAAGTGGATTTGATATATTATCGAATTATTAAGAATTATTAATTATTAAAATTGTTACAAATCATTTTCTTACTTATAATAATCTATTTCCTCTCTCTTACAAAATAAATTCCACTGATGAGATGAATGCTACGATGAATTGTGAAATCTTTTTTTCTTTTTTTATTTGTGATCATAATAATAACAATGATAAGTCTCACATGACTTATATCTTTATCCCTTCCTTATCTCTTCTAATAATCTTCAATGCTAATTAATTAGTTTCGAATGATGCAATTATTTTTGAATTAATCAATTAAAACTATTTGCTAATGATCAAATTGATTGAATTAATGCAAAAAAAAAAGGGGAAATAAAAGACTAAATGGAAAGATTAATAAATATTTTAGTTTTCTTAGAACAAGAATTGCGTTGTAAAAGCAGTAGAAGTAATAGTTGTAGTGGTAGTAGTAGTAGTAGTAGTAGTAGTAGTAGTAGTAGTAGTAGTAGTAGTAGTAGTAGTAGTAGTAGTAGTAGTAGTAGTAGTAGTAGTAGTAGTAGTAGTAGT